TAACAGATGAAGAAACATTTCATGAAATCTTACGCCTCTTACAAAAACATAGCAAAAACAATTTCTTTGAAATTCACAAAATCCTATGGTTCTGCGCGGAGAGCATACGAAAAACGGCAAATCTGCAAAATGAAGCGAAATTTATCCAAAAGTTGGCAGACTACATTGATGAAGAAAAGGATAGTGCGAATTTTTGGAAGAATGTTCTAATTGTCACCAAAGGAATATTTCCATCCGAAGACCTAGCAGAAGGACCGAGATCAGCTGCATATGATACAATGAAAGAATTAATGGACGACGATTTTGAAAATATTTTCACGGTTGACCACTTTCCTTGTTGGATCATCGATTTGAAACCCGGAAATAACAAATATACTAAACTTAATCCAGAAGATCGTATTGAATGGTTTAATGCATACAGTAAAGACGAGATTGGAACCGCATTGCAAAATTATGTCAGAAAAGACTCTAAAATCAAAATTCAATTCAAAAAAGCACGTTGCACCAAATGTGACGAAACAGGGGACCCGAGACTTTTCATTAGTAAATGTCATCCATTACCACAAGAAAAAAGACACGAAATAAAAAACGAGAAATATCATCCAAAACCCGCCGTGTGGCATCACGCAGGTAATCGTATTTATAGGCATTGGAAACCAGATGATGGAGAAATCGATAAACACGAAGTTGATTCTTCAACCGTTGGTGTGGTTACAAGTACGGTTGGTAGTTTAACTGCAGGAGGCTATGCCCTTAATATAGCTGCTGCGGCACAACCAGGAATCATTTTCGGTGGTGGGGCCATAGCAGGAACCATCGCTCTACCTATTGCTGCTGCAGTAGGTTTAGCGGCTGCTGGTGGTTACTTTGTCCACGAAAAACTATCAGAGGGTTATAAATGCAAATTTTGTAATAGACAATATAATGAGAAAGGATGTCTTGAAGAATGTGATCAATGTAATAAGAAATGGGATGAGAAAGGTTGCATTTTGAAATACGCGTGTTGCAATAAGCTTGAAGGAGAATTGGGATGTGACTTGCATGAACGATGTATGAACTGCGACCAAATCGAACAAAAGCTGACCACAGAAGGTTGTAAGGAGTTCTGTCAAAAATGTGATGAGGAATGGGGGTCGTCGGAAGGATGTGAATCAAATGTCAATCATGACGTTGTCATGGAGTAATGGACTCCATAGATGAGGTTCTTACTTCAGTTCCAAACCCAAGTTTACGAAACCTACGGAATTACATTATTTTATCAAAAATAAAATAATAAAGTATCTCCTTTAATTTAAATTTCAATTAAGTGTTCCTTTTCTGTAAATTATCACTCTTTAATCTGGGCGATAACAATATCAATATCAATATCAAATGAAGGATTTTAAATTATAGTCGTATATTTTCTTTATTCAAATATCTTATAGATTTTTTTCCCTTTAATTTATGAAAATCAAATGCTCAATATATAAATAACATAAAAATTTGGCTTTTAAAGATAAAAACGCGTAAAATGAATAAAGTTGTGTTAAAAAGGTTAGAAAAGGGTATTTGGTCCAACTTTTCAACTTTTGTAAGTTAATTTGAGCACGTGACTATTGTTGATAAAATGAGCCAATGATCATAAAATGATTTTTTCGCGTTCCTTTTATTTTTTAAAAAACAAAATAATTTGTTTTATAATAATTAAAATATGAATTTCTCATTATCAGTAAGAGCAGAACAACAAAATAGACGTTTGTCGCGAGGTTATACCTTAAAAAATAATAATATTTCAACAGGCCTTCTCGGAGTTTCCAGTTCAAATGATTCTTTTATTCTGGATTGCTTTGAAACGCCCTTAATAGAATTAGAAAAATCTTTCAATAGTTTATTAGAGAATTTTGAAAATATTAAAAAAGTTCAAGAATCTTTGAATGAATTTAATAAAGCTTTTTCTGGATTCTTATATGGCATTAAAATGAATGCTCATTGCGTTGAATTTTCCGAGGTATGGAATAAGTACTTTAAAAAACCATTGAACTCTTTATTGGAAATTAATATATCTATTTTGTCTTTGTAGGCTCCAACAAAGGAAGCGATTACCTCTTTCATTAACAGACGGGTGAGCTTACAAACGAAAAATACAACACCACGAATGAAAACACCTACACATCAATTACAATCAAACAAAAAAGTTGAAGAGCAAAAAAATCTTGAAACTTCTACAAAATCACAAAAATCCCAAGTTGCGATTCTTGTAACAAAAAATTTCAAAACCCCTACCAAAGTACTACAAAAACCACGTAGAAGAAAGATTAATAAACAAATGGAAATCAAGGTATGATTTTATTATCTTCTTCTTAACTTATTTGTTAATTGAAATCATTCTTAATAATTCTAGGCTGTGATTAAGAGGATTGTTGACACTTTACCACAGAAATATCGCGAGAAACAGGTAAAAAAATTTTTTTTATTTGGAATTTCTTTAGAAAAATTCAATTCATTTCACGTTTTAACTTTAATACTTCACATGTAACTTAGCAAGCAAACCGTGGAAATGTCGAAGCGATCCTTAAACTCGTGTGTTCAAAACCAAATGATGGATTGTATATGGAAGAAATCATTAAACGTACAAATTTAACCCGATTTAGATGTTGGGAATATCTTAACATTTTGGTTAACGGTAATCATGTGATTAAAATTAGTAAGAAAGGCCAAATGTTTAAATTAGATCCTATAAAGTATGCCAATTTTATTCATTTAATGAGTCTCTGAGGTAAGTCTTATTCACAATTTTAAAGATGTTTGATTTTGTAATAGTTTTATTTATTTATCTATCTATTTTTTATATAAAAATATGTATATATATATATAATATTACTCAAGTGAACATATTCGTTTTAAGGTTTTCGTTATTGTCATTCATTAAATACTTCTATATTACAACGATATAATAACTTTTCGTACCAAGCTTAGTTCTGGCAGATCAATTATATGTAAAGCCATATATATAGTAATGGTACTTGGTATGCATATATTACATAACATAAATACATAAGGAACCGATAATGATTTTTTCGTATCTTTAAATAAATATTAGTAATATAATATTAATTCTTTAAATTTATATTTTAAATATATGTAAATTCTAATATTATTAAAATTTCAAAAATAATTTAAATCATTTAAGTTAAAAAGTTAGTTTGTATTATACAAAAGGATATGATAAATTTAATTTGAATGTATGATGTATAATAATTTAATTAAGATCTAAATCAATAGGATTTTAATTTAAGAAAATTTTAAAAAAATAGAATAAATTAAATATTATTATAAAAATATTTGATAAATGGAATTTTTGTAATAAAAAAGAGAAAACTATCAGAATAAATCAACTTTACTTTATATGTAATTATATATAAATAATAGTATATTACTTTTTATTTTAACAAAATATTTAGTATTAAAATTTAGTTCTTCTTTCTTTCTATCTGTATCTTTTCATATTAATTCCAAAATCATACTATTTATTTGTACACATTTATATATAATAAATGCTTTTGGTATTATATCTCTTGGTTATTGTTCATAATTAATAATAAGATATTATTTATTACTGATTATATTAATCAAATTATATATAAAGTTTATAATTTTATAGGCTTATTAGTTACAGTAAAGTCTGTCTTCTTATATTTATAGCTAGTAAAAATATTTATTTTCTGAAATCTTTGATTAAAAGAAAAGTATACAATTTTTTTTTTACAATTGCTAATATATCAGATAGATGCCATTTCTTATATCTTAAATAATTATATAATCATATAATAAATTTTTTAAACATAAATTTTAGCTGATTTTTAAAACAAGCATTCACTTTTTACTTGGTATATTTAAAACTTGAAAATATTATCATTTATTATCATTTCCTAAACTTGTTTTGCCAACGATACAGACCTCTTTCTATAATTCTAATAAGCATTTTGGGATAAATCTTAAACTTTCATTTCAGGTTCTAGCTTTAGAATACAAGTAATCCCAATCATGCTTTATCAAATCTGCTGTTTCAATATATCTATATTTAGTAGTAAAATATTCCTTCTTTGGCTTCACATCATCAATTGCCAGCAATTGCCATTTGACTATGATCTTAAACCTTCAATAGTCCTTATCTATCATCTTGCCTTTGCCGAATGATGATGCATATAAGACAGTGCACGTGATAAATGCTCCATTTCTTAGCGATCAAGCAACTATTACTCGAATAGCCCATTGCTTTGGAGTTTAATAATGGATAAATCATCATATTGTTTTCCATCTCGATTGTTTTTCGAACCTGATACCATAGCAGTAACTCGAAACATATTTATATCATTTCAGGACGGGTGTAAAGCCTTATTATACTTGTCTAAAGTGATATTGATAACGAGCCCTGATCTACTAATAACGATTCATTAATAATTATATCGAAGCAGTGAATTATAGCGTTTTAGTGATTTATAGCGATCTTCTCAATAGAATATCATGATTCAAATTTATATAGGTTTGAGTTACGGATAGATCATGCGCAGTTGAGTGAGAAAAAAAGTATACCATGTGTTTCAGACATTTATTCGATGAACAGTTACATACACGCCGCATTCATAGATAAAAATATTTGGCTTCGGCAACTTTATCCTACCAAATAATGCTCACAAATTTATCGGGCGAGTCTATAAAAAGCCTGCCTCATTTTCTTTAAAAACATAAAAAAATCACGTTTAGTATTTAATTGTGATAATATTTCGTCCAATTGATCGATTTGTGGGTTACATTCTAGAACTTCAAATATATAAAAAAAAATATTATATATATAAAATAATCTTTTAAAGACACATGATCGTTAATTAAATAATCAATAAATCATAATATTAAATTAAATTTACTTTTATATATCGAATGTTCTTCTTCTCCCAAATGAATTGTGAATTTACATGGGCGAGACAAATCGTTCTCATATATGCATGTGAAAGAAAAAGTTATCACATTTTCTGAAATTGATTTGAAATATTAACAAAAATATATAAAATAAGAGACTGATGAATAATAAAACAAATCACCTTTCATTCCAACCATTGTGAATGCTAGTTTATCCGCATATCGTTTTAATTCTGGCTCATTTTTTGAAAGTTGTGCTTGTAAAGCTTGTTTCTTTGACATATTGACTATTAAAATGATTTATAAAAAAGAGATATTGAAGTATAAATATATGAAATGATTTTTTTTCAATTACTTATAATAAAGATTGCAATAAATAATAAGTTACTTTCACGTCGCCTTTGAATATCTCTTTTCAGATTCTCGATTTGATTCCTCCAATTACTGACGTGTTCGTTTATGGTTTCTCTTTTGCGTTTCATTTCCGAAATCTCTGACTGAATCTTATTAATATCTCTTTTCTCTTTTTCTTTTGCTTAATATATAGATTCAATATTAAGAGAATCAATTAATTGATTTTTTAAATTATACTTGGGAAAATAAGATAATTGCTTACTTGCAAGGTCATCCTTTTGTCTTTTCTCAGTTAATTTGATTTGTTCATACAATTGCGACCTGGCTCCTATTATCATGAATGAACCAATATCTATAAATAGTAACCAATTTTTTTCTTTTTTTTTTTATCTACCATACCTTTATCTGCAGAAAAAGTAATTTGCCATTGTTGTTTTTTTAGTGATAAATTATTGTTCACACTATTCACATAATTAATAAATTCTTCTTCAAATAATTTATTTTTATGTCGTACTATTTCATAGTTAAAGTTTACCCTCGAAATTACAAAGTTGTTCGAATTTTTAATATTTATATTGGAAACGTGATTCAAACTTGAAAAGGATGCGTCTTTATGAAGTTTTGTTTTGGAAGGGGTTCTAACTGGTGTTGAAGTAGCAGAGTACATTATGAAGTTTAAACAATCAAAATGAAAAAGTCGCGCTTTTGTTATAACGCGTATGGAATTGGTTAAATTATATCACATGCCGATCGAGGTCAGCTGCTTAGATGACTCCAAAGATGTGGTAACTGATTAGGTTTTGAAACGATACATATGATGAATCCCTGAAAATTGATTTGTTGAGTATCAAAGTGACGTGTCCAAAATATATAAAGCGAAAAAAAAGATAGAATTCTCTTCCTCCTTTTGAATCTCCACCTAAGGGAAATTTATCCAACATTAAGATTATGTGAGTATCCAATACATTAAATTACAATATTATCATTAATTTTTTAACAAAAAATTGTATCTTAGTACTGTATCTACGATTATCCTTCCCAATATTATATATCTTATTTTCTTTATCGCTATTGATTTTATTTATAATCATCCTATTTTTTTTTTGAGTGACCTAACCCCCAAATTACTGTCTTGAATCCCAAATATCCATCATAGCACATGGCTGACTCAGCACCGGCCGATAGTCGTGGTGGTAAGTTAAGACAATTACTTTGAAACAAACCAAGAAACACGTCAAAGAATATAAAAAAAAATAAATAAAAGTTTTAATATATCAAATACTCTCGGATCAAGTTGACGAAACATAAACCTATTCAGTCACTAATTTATAAGAGTTAATATATTAACAAATCTGTTAATTTTTATTGTCATAGGACGTGGTGGTTTCGGACGTGGTCGTGGTGGCGATAGAGGCCGAGGCCGAGGGCGCGGTCGAGGTCGTCGCGGTGCACGCAAGGAAGATGATAAAGAATGGTTGCTATTTTAATCACTAATACTTTTAATTCATTTGAAAAAAATTTTTTTTCTAATGCATTTATTTTAATTTATCAATTTATTTAGGATCCCCGTGACAAAACTTGGCCGTCTAGTCAAGGAAAATAAAATTAGAACCATTGAAGAAATATATCTATTTTCACTTCCCATTAAGGAGTATCAAATCGTAGACCGTTTCTTCGGCACTGCATTAAAAGATGAGGTTATGAAAATTATGCCTGTTCAAAAACAGACTCGTGCTGGTCAAAGGACTCGGTTTAAGGTTATTTATAATTGGTCTCGTAAATAAACTTTTTTATTTTTCGTCAAAATATCTTAATGTATTTATATATCTTTTCCTCCAATTCTTTTAGGCTTTTGTTGTAATTGGCGATTCCAATGGTCACGTAGGTCTCGGAGTTAAATGCTCCAAGGAAGTAGCGACAGCTATTCGCGGTGCTATTATTCTTGCTAAACTCTCAGTAATTCCCGTCCGACGTGGATATTGGGGTTCATCCCTTGGTGAACCACACACCGTCCCTGGCAAGGTTACCGGTAGATGTGGTTCCGTTATATGCCGTCTCGTCCCTGCGCCTCGAGGAACCGGTATTGTCGCCGCTCCCACTCCTAAAAAACTTTTACAATTAGCAGGTATCACTGACTGTTACACCACGTCTCGTGGTTCCACTCGTACTTTGGGTAATTTTGTTAAGGCCACCTTCGCCGCCATTGGCAATACTTACGGCTTCTTGACACCCGACTTGTGGAAAAATACCGAGTTTAAGCAGTCACCATATCAAGAATTTAGCGACATTTTGGCTGTATGTAAAATTGATATGGTTTATGTTTTGTCATCCAAGTATTTAATTATTAACTCCAACTTTTTACGATCTAACAGAAGGCCTCCGATAAGAGGAGGAGTTAAGCATTTAATTTTAATAATTCACGAAGGAAGATGGTTTAAGAGGTCTAATAATCACTGTGTTTCACTTAAATAAAAAAAATTTATTCTTTTGTTATGTTGGTTTATTATTTTATTGGTCATTTTTTTATTTTTTTTTTTTTTATTTACATGCTAGAATAATTTACATCGAAAAGGAATATTAAAATCGTGATTTGTTATGATAATAAACTGGACATTAAGAACTTTAATTAAATGCTAATATATGAATCAAAATACCAACAATCGATCGCATTCTGTCTAGGACAAAAATTAATCCGTAAAGAATTGAACATGGTTCATCTCCTTGACAGATCGTTGTACTACAAAGTGCTGCACTCAGACCCTGAATCATTTTCTATTTAAGGATATTTTGTGATACAACGCCACGAAATCATATATTTATTGATATAACAAGTTATTTAATGTACCTTTAAAGAATCCTCATTATAAAATATATTAGTAAAAAAGGAAAAAAAAAAAAAAAAAAAAAAAAAAGGAATTCATTCAAAAGATGGCCGACAATATAGGCTAATTAAGGTGAATAAGCTATGCAAAATAACTAATAAAATGGAGGATTGCATACATGAAATAATGAAAAGCATTAAACTATATCTGTTTGATATTTAGTACATTATTTCTATGAACGCAATAGCACAAAAATCTAAATATTTATATTATTTGTTTTGTAAATCAAATTTTAGAAATTCTTTGAGTGTTCTGCAAATTTTCCAATAGTAGATTAGCGTACTGTCTAATGCATTAGCCACAGCGTGATCGAAGACTTATTCAAAAAAACGCGAACTTTTTTTATGCGGCAAAATTGATATCCTTTACGAAACCATGAGTTAAATAAAAAATCATAATAATATTATCTTCTTTCTTAATGATTACAATCACTACCATTTTTCATTTAACCGACAACATTAGAATATACAATATGTCTGAAGCAATTTATGCATGGTTGACGTGTTCGACTTCGATTGAATTTTTGGTTTGGGGTGATTTTTGAAAATTTTCTATTTTTAATTATAATATTATCGTTATCAATTTTACAATTTACTTTTGCAATAATATCATTGATTTTTAAAGTGAGGAATTCACCTTTGAACTTTTATGCAACAGCGATTAGTTTTGTGAGGAGTAGAATCTGGAACAAACATTCCTAACGAATGAATAAATCATAAAACATGTTTTTTATATTTAAAAAACTAAAATTTTATTATGCCAGCTTTAGGGAATTGCTGAATGGGATATCATTTAGATAATTTACGAGGATAATATATAAATATTTTTGTGAGAATGTGTCAAAATATTCATTTGAAATTTTATGTACGATGAGGATTATAATGAGGTATAAAGTTCACTTATCAATGAGCAATTTTTTAAACTTTTCAACAATTTTTTCAGCCTTACCACTTTAATTAAAAAATAATGAAAAGTATTTATCGTCTTTCTAAAATAGGTCATTTATTCCAAACGCCACACATAAAATTGATCGGATCGACAGTTTGTATTACCAAAAAAATTCGACTGAACTCCGCACGTTCAAGTTAACATACAAACCGTGACGTGAGTAACACCATCTCAGGTATAAATGCATGATTTCTGGATATTTCGTGGAAATTTAATTATTATTCCGCGCGCTTTCCAGCTTATAAAGAGCTAAACCACAAAAACATGACAAACAAGTCGGAACCAAAGGCGCTTCTTGAACCTGGAACATTCCACCTTGTAACGTGGAAAAATGAAAAACGTAAATATGATAAACTTTGATTTATCTTTAAACTTTTTAATAAAACAAAAATATACAAAAGTTGTGTGTGTTTCAAATACATATCTTTTGGTATTCAAGTTTAAACAAGTAACACGAATAATCTTGAATTTTCAATGAATATAGGAAAAGCAGAAATTCTCGAAAGAAGGATCCGCGACGACACTTCTAACGAATATCTTTACTACGTGCACTATGAGGGGTGTTAGTATTCCTTTTAATTTTTCATTTTGTTCTTGTTCTTACCACTTAACAATCTGTACTAAACAACCTTAAACGAAAATTCTCGATAAACCATTATTAGTCGACCGGAGGCTTGACGAATGGGTCACCTCTGAAAGAATTGGTCGGGCCGTGGCTGCTTCCTCGTTAGGGGCAACTCCAGCAAAACGAGCTGGAATTGACGAGGAAGCAACCGACGAAGGGGAACCCTCTCGACAGGCTCGTTTTTCAAAGAAGCGAAAGCTTAATGGCGGTGGTTCCGTAAAGGGACCAAAAAAGGTATGTACGATTCAACTTTTTTTGCTTTCTCATATACAAATTTGAACTTTATATATCATAACTTGCAAAACTTTCTTTTTGACATTTATTGATTGAGATCATATCATTCGTTATGTTAAGCAGGAAGATGCTCTTGAAAAAGAACATGAGAAAAACACAAAGGTACGAAACATCGGTGCTGTTGTATTCGGACTTTACGAAATTGACACGTGGTACTACTCGCCATTTCCCGACGAGTACAAGTACCTCGAAAAGGTATACTTCTGTGAGAGGTGCATGAAATACATGAAGATGAAAGAGACGTGGGGACGTCACATGGTATGTAATATATTCGATTTCAAGGCTAGAAAGAATGTCATGTCTCCACTTGTCATTCCCCTCTTAATCTCATCATCGCTTTATTGATATTCTACAAAGTCTCTTTGCGACCACCAGCGCTCTCCAGGTGGGTTGGTTTATGAAAGCGGTCGAAATAAGATATACGAGGTCGACGGAAAGTTGAATAAGGTAACCAACTGTTGTGCACGTGATCTTTATGGGATGACGTATGTGATCCCTGTTTGTTGGTGTTCTCAACTTTCTTTCTACATTGCATGGTTCCTTAGCTTTACTGTCAGAATCTTTGTCTTTTGGCAAAGTTCTTTATCGACCATAAAACTATCTATTACGATGTCGAAGGGTTTCTTTTCTATATCTTAACCGAGGTTGAAAACGGGAACGAGGAGCATATCGTTGGATACTTCTCGAAGGCTTGTAATTTTTTTTTTTTTTCTCTTACTCTTTCTCTTTCTTTCTCTTTTCTTTTTTTTTTAAAAAAAAAGAGAAAGAAAATGTGAAGAGTAAATATTTTTGAATTATAAGTATGTATGATTATGATGAATTTTAATTGTTGATGTTCCTAATTATCGTATACAGGAGAAGGTATCGTATGATAACAACAACTTGGCATGTATCCTGGTCTTTCCACCCTATCAAAGGCAAGGTTATTCACAACTGCTAATTGAGTTCAGTAAGTACTTTTATCAAATGAACTGCGTCAAATGAATTCCATTTATCATTTTACTTTCTTTACGATTAGGTTATGAGCTTTCCAAAAAAGAGGGCAAGATTGGATCTCCGGAAAAACCCATTTCTGACTTGGGTATGAAGGGCTACCGCTCATACTGGAACAAGACGATTCTTCGTCTCTTGAAAAATTACAAAGGTACATGCATAGGCTCGGGATCCTCTTCATCGTCGACAACACCTCCCGAACGAACAGACAGTAGCGGCGGGATTGATACTGACGGTAACGGAAGCACACAGCAGAAAAATGATGAGATAATCAAGATCTCCGTCAATAAGATCTCCGAGTTGACTGGTATTCGTCAGGACGACGTTATTGAAACTCTTCGTGACTTAGGATTTCTTAAGTATAGAAATCCAAAACCTCATAGGCAAATCACAACAATATCAGCGGCTAGTCACCCAACAAATAACATGGCTAACGGAGATCACCGATACGAACCTTACTATCAGGTTCACAATAATGACCAGCAGAAAGACCAGCAATATCAATTGCACCGTGACGAGGAGTACACTCAGAAACGTAACCAAAATCGTTTCATCTGCATCACGAGGAGAATGGTCGATGACTACATTCGAAGCCAGGGGGTAAGGCTTGAAAATCGAGTTTTTGACATTTGTGGTCTCAAATGGCTTCCCAACGTAAGCCGTTAAGTTTAAACAAACACATATCTACAAGGGACTAAAGATGCCTGTTGCAACCAATCTTATTATGACGATGGACTTCTTTTATGTTTATCGTGCAGGGAAAGTCTCATACGAGCATATATCGGAAGGCTCTGGCTGTTGCTATTAACTTTTTTTTGACGAACATTTCTCGTATGTTTATCGTCCAGGTAAAGGTGGCAATTGATTGATAACTTATGCTGTTGTAAAATTTTTTTTATGATGAGCTTTCTTGTTTTCGTCCAGGCAAGGTTTTAATGGCAAAATAATTTGACAATTTTTTTTTTTTTTTTCACTCTTAATTCCTTGTAGCAAGATCAGTCAACACAAAACAAAAAAATCCATATTTTTATTGGCAAATTTCTTTTTCTCAATACCCTTTATTGTTAATTTTTTTTTTTTTTTTTTGTAAAAAATTTATGCATTACATATTCATCTTGTATTAAAATCGTTCTTTATTGGTGGGAAGTTTAATATTAAACAAATTTTTGTTGACGATTAGATCTTGGGCATCAAATTTGGGATAGTACAACACAAGTTAGTCTACTTTTTGTATCAAATGATATCAACGGTGAATCGAAAACCGTATTATCCCCTTCTTTATAGTCTTGCGGTAATACTTTATTCAGATTCCATATGTTGATAATACCATCAGAGGAGATTGATGATAATAACGGAAAAGGATCGCTACTGTTTGGTGGAATTGATTGAATAATTGATAGGTCCTTGATCCTATGGATGGAGGTTAGTGTTAAATCATCTTTTGAGAATCCTTTTGAATTTTTTTCTGCAATGTTAACTAAAAATCATTTACCTATTTTTATGTCCCAATAACGTCACAAAACAATGACCGTTTTTAACATCATACACTCTTATGGTCTTATCTTCGCTTCCTACAATCAACAAATCTCCCAGGTGTTTGTGTGTATAATATTGCATGCAAAGAAAACGGGAATTTCCAATATGAAGTTTCTGTACTATTTGGGCGTCCTTTGTTATATTGTGAATGATGAGAATTGTTGGGACAAAATAAATTTTTAATAAATTCAGAGATAATTTTTTTTTTTTTTTTTTTAATCTTACCGAAGTGTTGTAAATTTCGATTTCGCGAGCCATTAAAATTGCATATTGATCACCTGACAGATTCCATAAGACGATTTCACCCTCTAATAAAATTTTATGGTTAAAGTTTAAATTCAAAATTTTAACGAGTCAAGTTATAATTAATACCTCTTCCAAGTTTGTTTACGCTGGCCTTTTGGCCGCGTAATAAATTCCATAAGCGAAGAGTTTTATCGGCAGACACAGATAATGCAATTTTACCAGATGGATGAATCGCCAAAGAATTTATACGTCCTTTATGACCTTTTAAGATCTTTAAACACTCCCAATCTTTTGTTCTCCAAATACATATTGTACCATCATCACTTCCACTAAACATATGAGACTTATCAAAGAATTGAAGAGTTGTTATTGAACCTTCATGTTGTAATAAAGACCCAAGTTCTTTGCGATTTTTCAAATTGTATAATCTGGTAATAAAAAATATTATTTTAATTATATTGACTTTATACTCTAATCATCATATTATTTTATTGTAAACTCACTTTATAACTTCATCAGTGCTTCCCGAAGCCAAAAATTTACCACCCACGGATACCGTCTTAATACATCCAATATGAGCTGGAAAGATAAAGATCGGCTCTAATTTCAATGTAGGATTATCCTTTCAAGTTGTTTAATTACGTATTTAAAATTTAATTAGATTTGTCCCAATTGATAAAAATTACAACCAAATTCGAATGAAAATTCTAAATCAATTACATTATCAAAACCCTCTTCGCCAGAATTTATCCAATGCGATTTAATTCCATATAAAATTCTTTCATAACTTCCTGCAACGATTAAAAAATCTCCGATATTTGTTTCAGTATTCACAGTATCTAGTGAAATAATTTCTTTAGTTTGTGAATTATCGTCAAATTTTCCTTTTTTTTTTGAAATTTGCCCTTGTTTTTTCGTAGAAGTTTTCGAAGTTCGCGGTTTCTTTGACTTTGGCATAATTTTCAAATAAATAATAAAAAACGAATATCTTTTTTTACTGAACCAAATATTTGGGTGATATTCAATCAATACCATTATTATGTATTACCAAAGATTTGGATCAACGTCTTCCGAACCTTTGGGTCGATTGTTAAATATACCCCTTTACATATGTTGCGCAATAAACTAAAGTGTTGAACATGGAAAAGATTGGTTTTTAGTAGTTAATTTTAGCCGAAAAAGGGGTGGATACATTCTCACCTAAAATTTTTCTTTCGCGTTTATTTATTTAAAAAGTTTTTCTCTTTTTATTTTTTCCTATTTGTTTAAATTTACTTACTTTAAAGTAAAAAATTCTTACTAGCATTCTTTCATTGTTTTTGATTTTTTTTATTTATAATTAACAATGGTAACGTGCTTAAAATTCTTGTATAGTTTTAAGATACCTAATTTACCTGCAATACATTTTTTTTACTTTTTAACTTATACGCTTAATATTTGCTTTATTCATAATATTTAATTTATTCGGTTGCTAAATAGAGTTCCTCAGACCAGGCAGACCCTGAAGATTATTATGTTAAACAAGATAAAATAGGCAAGAATAACTATACTTTTTGAAATTTTATAACAAACCATATTACGTAATAGAATTTATTAGAATTGAAATGAAAAGGCTCATTTAATTACAGAATCATAGAATTGATTCTCATCATTTTATTTATTGATCATTAATTTCCTTTTTCATATTTCTTATTAGGTAAAGGTTCTTTTGGTGAGGTATACAAAGGGTAAGTAAATAAATTGAATGGGTGGTTTTTTGAGAAAAGCGTAATATAATTGAAGTATAAAAAATAAGAATAAAAAAGAAATAAATCGATGCATAAATATCTTTAAGTTTTATCTATTAAATGTATTATGTTTAAATGAATGATATGATCATCATTGACATTCATAGTTATGAAAAAAAGTCGAAATCTCCAGTGGCCATCAAAATCATTGATCTTGAAAGTGCTGAGGATGAAATTGAAGATATTCAGCAAGAAATTGCAATTCTCTCACAATTGGACTCACAATATGTGACAAGGTAACTTACAATACATTATTCAACCTTTCTATAAAATAATACCTTGAATCATATCATTATTGACAAAATTATTATAACGTTATAAGATATTATGCTTCCTATCTTAAAGGAACGCATCTATGGATTATAATGGAATATTGTTCTGGTGGTTCTTGTTCTGATCTAGTACGGATTCTCCTCCCTTTAACATGAACCTTTTTTTTTTAAAAAAAAAAATATATTGATTTTTTATCTGTGGAAAATAGATGAAGCCAGGAGCTATCAGGGAAGAATATATAGCAATCATATTAAGAGAATTGCTGAAAGGCTTGGATTATCTTCACAACGAAAATAAACTACACAGAGGTTTGTACGTTAATCCAATATGTATTTTTATTTATTTTTTTTTCCTTTATGTATATCTAAACAAATTCATCTTTATTTATTTGATAACAGATATTAAAGGTCCGTTAAACAATAATTTAATTGAATGTTTAAAAGAATTTATTATTTTAACTCGAGTTATTTAACAGCGGCAAATGTCCTTTTAAGCTCGAACGGTGATGGTGTGTAAAAATAAATAGATTCTTTTTAAAAGATTTGCGATTATGATTATGATCCTATTTGTATTAAAAAAAATTTTTTTTTTTTGAATTATTCGATCCGCAGTGAAACTGGCTGATTTTGGAGTTTCGGGACAGGTGAATAACTCTTTAAAACTGTCTATTAGACTCCATGCTGATTGGGATATAATAAATCTCATTTAATATCTATTCACATAGCTTACAGCGACAATGACCAAGAAAGTTACCTTTGTTGGTACTCCGGTAAGTTTCTGTTGTGGTGGAATTATTTATTACACATGATATAGTTTGGAAATTTATTTTAATTTGCTCTTATATAGTTTTGGATGGCACCTGAGGTTATTAAACAATCAGGATATGACTTTAAGGTAATAAAAGATGGGCTATGAAAGTTCTTTGTTGAAATATTTTCACCAATTTTGTGGCAATATAATGAATTATTAGGCGGATATCTGGTCGTTGGGAATAACCGCCATCGAGCTTGCCAAGGGGGTACCACCTTACGCAGAACAGCACCCAATGAAAGTACTTTTTCTCATTCCCAAAAATCCATCTCCAGTTTTGGATGGCTTATATTCTAAAGGATTCAAGGAATTTGTTGCACAATGTTTGGACAAAGATCCTAATAATGTATATGTTCCCTTCTTATAAGTCATTAAAAGTTGCTCAATTTTTAATTTTAAATAAGTAATGAAAATGAATTTATGTGAAAAATATAGCGACCTACGGCAAAAGAATTACTTAAGCATAGGTTTATTCGTAGTGCAAAGAAGACTTCTTATTTGACGGAGCTAATTGAACGACATGAAAGATGGGTGTCCGAAGGAGGTTGTCCGTTAGATTCTGACGATTCAGAACATTCCGAGAATGGGTATTTTTTTTAAAAAAAAATTTTATTTTTCAATATTCTTTTTTTTTATAATTAAATCTCATGATTGAATATTTAGTGTTGATGATCGTGAGGAAACAAGTTGGGAGTTTGACACTGTTAAACCATCAAAAACAAAATCATCACGTTACTCTGATGATGATGATGATTATTCAGAGGATACAATTGGACCATCCAAAGGAAAACAAGTAATGGTAATTGTCATTCATCTTAAATTTCAAGTTATTTAATGTTAACACGTTTAACGTTCATATTGACCGTTAATTAAAGGCCATGAAGGAAAGCGATTCCGGGTATGACACAGTTAAAGGTGTAGGTTCGATCGGAGCAGATGATGAATACGATGATGAGCTTTATGGCCACACGCAGCCACCAGATCCAGCAGTTTTCAGAAAAGTGGTTGTTCCATCGATTAATAAGGTTGGTTTGCAACCTATCTTAATGAAATTACATTTTGTATTCCATTAAAATTTCTTTTATTAAACAACCAAACATTTTTTTTATTATCATTTGGATTAGTTGTGTAAGAGTGCCCCTAGTCAAAAAGCTTTAAATACATTGGAAGCTTTGAAAAAAGCTTTTGAGGATGCTGAAAGAGAAAATCCTGGAATAAGTGAAACATTCATGCATGCAGTGTTTCAAAGATATGATGAAGTTAATCCTTAAATGCGGTAGATTTGAGGACCTTTATTCCAATTGTGAGATGCAAATTTTTTTTGTAGATATAACTTGTCTCTTACATAAATTGAAAAGATTAGTCCACTAACAACATTACTGACATTTGTACAAATACTTTTTTTTTTATTTTTTTTTTTATTTTTTTTTTTTTATTTTATTTTTTTTTTTACTCTTTATTATCGAAACTAAATCGGAACTTCATTAGGAAAAGATTGTTTTTATTATAAAAAAAAAAAAAGAAAAGAAATAGTAAACATCATTCATCATTTTGAATGTGCTTGAATACTGAATATTTATCATGATTCCTCCCCCCTTCTGTTGTAACAAAACAGGAACAAATAAATTAAATCGAAAGGTACAATTTCTATAAAGAAAATAATTACAAATTAAATTATAAAAAGATTATATATAATGTCTTTTACCAATAAGTCAAGAAAAGTTTTAATTCATCTAAATTGAGACAAATATCCTTGATTGGTTTTTCTAAATGTTCTTCCACCAACATTTGCCAATCACTTTCAATATCTTGCCTATAAGTTGATAATAACCCAGAAAGATTTGGATTGGATACGGAAATGTCATAATTATCGTTCCAAGCTTTATTTGTAGGCCAGAATTTATTAAACAAGGATTCTATCCATTCGGAATACGAATTAGTATTTGCCGGATGATAGAATTCAAATTGATCAGGTTGTGCTGACGGATCATTTTGATCATTGTCATCCAATTCAGAACCAGTATCCAAATCCGAATCATCAAATGTATTAACCATATGACGGGTGGTCACCGGAGGGTCGGCAAGGGAAACCCAAGCATCAACACGTTTTAAAGTAGATTTATTCATAACAATTAAATTCATCAATGTAGAAAGAGGTAAAGCGCCTCCATCAATATCATGCCACGTAATTAATTCTTCTAATCCTTTACAATGTCGAGAAAGGATAAGAAAATCTTCACCTTCATGAAAACCCGATACCTCAATAATTAATCTTTTTAAGTTTCTACAATATTGAAAAATGACATGATAAAGAAATTCCTCTTCCTCTTTATTAAATCTAGTGCCCCACCAAGTTAATGAATGTAAATTTGGTAAATTAATAAATATTGAAACGAGATTTTCAAGTTCTAAATCATCCGCAACATAACAATCCAAATTAATTTCTTTTAAATCATTATTTTCAATTAACTTGACAATACATTTTTTACCAACGTCTCCTAATGGTCTACCATTTTCATGCCAAAGCTCTAAACTTTCTAAATCATGCAAGTAACTTAAGGCTGTAGAAAAATAACTTCCATGTCGTTGAAATTCTCCTAAAAATCGTAAAGACCTTAAACATAATTTACGAATTTTTCTTGAAGAAAGGATTTCTACCGCTTTGGCTAGATATTTGGTAACCAAAGTCGTTGATCTGACAATTTCCATTACCGCAATGGTCTGTGGTTCCGCATATTGTTGTTCCCTGGGACTAATTAAAATTCCGTTTACGTTAGAACATTGTGCCAAGACCAGTGGTAGACGAAACCAAGGAAATTCATTTTCTCGATCGCAAGAAGTGATCGAAATCGTATGAGTTAAAAAAGCGTAATCGTAATATGCAATGTGTTCACCACTTCCATTACTTCTCATCGAGATCGTGTCTGCAAGTTTATTGAAATCTATATGAGGTCCTATAATGATCCTATCATATAGTTTACGAACCGCAAAAGAACTAAATGTTTTATTGACTAATAGTAAAGAACGTAAACTTTGATAATCGGAGAAGAAATCTACGATCTCTTTCCATAATTCAGGTGGTAAAACTGCCATGAGAAATCAAATATCATTTTTTTAAACTTAATAATGAACAATACATATATATCTAACATTTCATGCATGTTTACCAAAATAGTAAGACAATGTTTACCAGACTTCTGGTTCATTAAAGTTGTGGAAGTTTATGTGGAATATCAATTTACATTTCATATATTATATATATTTTTTTTTTATTGGAACAACATACGCATACACAGTTTCGTTGATCACAATGAGCCTTTCCGTGAATTTCAGTGTTCATTCTAAAGCACTTTTATCTTCATATCAAGCTGTTCTTAATGGTGACAAAGATACAGAATGGGTAGTTTATGGGTATGATAAAGGAGGCAATGATTTGAAGGTTTTAGAAAAAGGAGGTGAGAACATTATAATTTTTTTTATTTGAACGTATTTTCATTTGTTAATCCATTTTCTTTGATAATGACTTTAGCTGGAGGGCTTGAAGAATTGGTAGAAGAGTTTAACGATGGAAGAATTCAATACGCCTTTGTTAGAGTGATAGATCCCAATACGGAGTTACCAAAGTTTGTTCTTATAGGCTGGGTGCGTAAATTTGACAAATTTTAAAAAACGATTATATTTTCCATTCACTCATTTATTCATTCATCATAGTGTGGTGAAGGGGTACCAGAAATCAAAAAAGGACTGTTCAATTCGCATTTTAATGAAGTTTCAAAATTCTTAAAGGTTCTTGCTTTTTATTTAACTTGAATGATTTTTCACAGGGATTACAAAGATATCTATCTAAATGATGTAAATCTTACGTGTAGGGGTATCACCTTCAAATCAATGCTAGATCAGAGGTAAGTTTTCATATTCATGAGTCACTTCATTTAAATGCCACCACGTTTATATTTTCGCTGTATTAGGCTGATGTTGATCCAGACTATATAATGAAACGTATAAGTGAAAGTGGGGGTTCCAAGTACTCCATTAACGTTAATAAGGAACGAGCAATGAAGGAAGAACCTATTTTACCTGTTGTATGTTCAATCATGTCATCATGTTTTTAGATTTACGCGTCATTGGATTCATCATGATATTTGGGCCGATCATCTATGTAATATATCTTTTGATTATATAGAATTCCGTATATGAACGTGTAAAAATTCCGGATATCACTGCACAACGACAATCTTCTTCTCGTGAACAAATCAAGCCTGTCGTATGTTTAACAAATACATATATGTTTGTTTATTTTTTAAATATAAAGTCATTAATCGAATGATATTTATAAACGTATAAAGAGTTCTGTGTATCAGCCGGTTCAACTCCCAAAACCCAAACCTCTAGGTAAATTTTCAACGTGGACAGAACGTGCTGAAAATTCAACACCATCTGGACCATCTCCAGCAGAGTTAAAAGCACGTCGAGAACGTGAGCGTGCCGAGAAGGAAGAACGCGAGAGAATAGAAAGCGAAGAGAAAGCGAGAAAAGATCGTGAAGAGAAGGCTAGACAATTGCGTGAAGAGAAAGAGAAAAAAGAGCGTCAAGAGAAAGAGAGGAAAATGTTTGAGGAGGAAGAGAGAAAAGGGAGTGAAGAGAAGGAGAGGAAACGTATAGAGAAAGAAGAACGTGAGAAAATAGAGCGCGAAGAAAGAGAGCGTTTAGAAGCAGAACGGTTAGAGACAGAATTGAAAAAACTAGAAATTGAAGAGGCTGAACGTAGAGAGCAAGATGAACGGGAAGAAATGGACAGAATTGAACATGAAAAAGAATTGCAAAGACAACGGGAAACGGAAGAAAGGTCAAGGAAAGCTAAAGAAGATCAGGAAAGAAGGGAGAAGGAGCAAGCAGAATCGGCGAGAAGGGACTTGGAGGAAAGAGAAGAAAGGCAGAGGTTAGAATATGAACGCGAACAAGAGGTTTGTCAATCAAAATAAGAAAGGTGTAAAGGTGATAACTAAGAAATTCTTTTAAATATTTTGATTTCAAAACCAAAAATAATTTTTGCAGCAGCAAGAAGCTGAACGGCTTCTACTTGAACAAGAACAACAGGTAATATTATCAATTCAAATTTGTTTATTGATGCCGACAAATAGTAAATGATTTAAATAAACTTAGACCGCCGAAGTTTCTGCCGAATTGGCTGGTGGTATGACAGCAGTTGTTCAATTTTCTTATGATGCAGGTAAGTTAACATTTTGGTTTAACTCTTATTGCAACTCGTGAATTTAATTACGAGAAATTTATTTATTTGTTATATTAGCTGAGGATAATGAAATACCATTAAGAGAGGGAGAGATTATTAGAGATATTGTTCCATTAGATGAAGGATGGTGGCAAGGGGTAGGTGAAGATGGAAGAACTGGACTTTTCCCAGGTAAATAATGAGGCTTATGAATTTGAATTTATCAAAGTAGTTGTATCAATCGTTTAACTTCTTTTCCACTTATGATATTAATAAACATTTTCAAATAATGTAGCGAACTATGTTGAGATCGTTGAGAGCGTTGCATCCGAACAGCCTATTGAAGAGACACAAGAAGTTGAAGCTGAACTTGTACAACAAACAGTTGATTCATCACAAGGAAATCATATTGCAAAAGCATTGTTTGATTATGGAGCGGGTGAAGAAAATGAAATTTCATTTCAAGATGGAGCTATTATTAAAGAAATTGAATTTGTTTCGGATGATTGGTGGCAGGGTAAAGCACCCGATGGAAAAGTTGGTCTATTCCCAGGTAAATTTTCAATACTTTGAATATAAATTCTGTTCATTAATTTATTTATGACTATATATTTTTATATTTTTTCCTTATAGCTAATTACGTAGAATTACAACAGTCATAATGGTATTAGTATATAATAAATAATTAGTGCATTAAGAAAAATTTATTATTTTATTATTTATACACACACATATATTTTTTTTTCATTTATTAAAAATAAACATTTAATAATAATTTCTGATTATTAATTAATTATATATCACCTATTCACGTGGTGCTTATTTTAGGAAAGTTCAACTTTATTATGTATAAAATGACATAATCCGTAACGTAATGTATAAACGTTAAATAAAATACATCCCCCATCACCTTTTCATATATACCAACATTTATTTTTATTTTTTTTTTGGTTTGTCCAAGCTCATTTTTTTGTCATCCTCCATATAATTAGCTTTGTTCGCTTCACCTAGTTTGAGGTAAATAAGATTACAGCCCAAAGATCTTATCATCTTTATTCATATTATAACCTTTTGCCATAAATAAAGCTAAAATGGAGAGAAATACATCCAATATGCCATTCTGTGTTAATGGTTGTGGGTTTTACGGGTAAGCTAACGAATATTAAGAAGTCCAAACTAAAGACTTATGTTTTTTCTTGTTAAATCAAGAAAAAACATCCTGAGTATAACTGTTTTCTTAAGTTTTATTTTTTGTTTGTATCTACTTAAATTTGGTATTATTTCCGTACTAATCTAAACCACTTCACGAAATAGTAATCGTATTTACAACCACATGTGTTCCAAATGCTTTAAGGAATGCAATGCAAAGAATGGGCAAAGTATGTAAATTATCATAAGATATGAACATTAAATTTTTTCGTTTTATATCATGAAAAATAGACGATAACATAATAACCCTTATTTTCCAACAGCTGAGAAAACTATAGAACCCGCCATGCCCTCTTCGGCTTCAACGAATCAGCCACCTACAACTACACTTATATCTACAACTACAAGTGTAGAAGAACTTCAAGAACCTCCTGTTCCATTAAATCCTATTTCTGAACAGGTCTTACCTCAATCTAGTATGTCCGTAACTAGCGTAGTTTCTCAGGTTTCTACTGAAGTTCAACCAAACCAACTTACACGGCAGGTTCAAAATAACAAAGCTCGTTGTTTCAAGTGTCGGGCTAAAATCCCCTTAGCTAAGCAAACCATTAACAAATGCCGATGCGGTGATTATTATTTTGATTGTTATTTGATCGTTATTTTGATTTTATTTGAAGTTTGGTTGATTGATAACCTTATTAATAAGAATATTTTCATTTCCGTTTCCTTCTTTGACCCCTGATGTGTGTATATATATATTTATTTATATATTTTATATATATTCGATCGGTTTTAGAGTACGTTTTCTGTGATAGCCATAAAGTACCCGATAAGCACGACTGCGATTTTGACTTTGCCAAGATGGGTAAAGACATTTTGGCGAAGAACAATCCAAAGTTGAACGATGTTCACAAGGGCGGACGTTCTTTCAACAGACTCGACTGAGTAATATCATTTTCGAAGGACTACCCAAGCCTAGATTATATTTGAGATATGGTCTCGTACCTTTCGAAATAACTAAGATGTAATGGTCACACGTTTGAATTTTGCATTCGTCTTTAATATTGTAAAGCAATATTAATTTCGCTTATGGGACATTATTTTCGTTAGTTACTACTAGCGAAAATTCGAGAGTTTTTTTTTCCTTCATAAACTTTACAAACTTTTTTCTTTTCGAATCAAACCGACATTTGGTTTTTCTTTTACATTCATTTTTGGGAGTTAACGGAACTAACATAACATATAATATATATACTACAATATATTTTGTTAACAGATATATAAGGAATACACTGTGTTAATAATGGACTCGGCTCCATAATTCGACCTATATTAAAGCAAATGGCAAATATAATTTTTATGATTCCCTTTTTTTTTTTTTAATTAAATCCAGTTTTTTTTCATATAATGGATATCATGTTTCCAAATGATGTTGCATAACTGAACAATTCACTTAAAAATGATTTTTGGGGGGAAGACTTTATAAAGGTTATTACAAATTTTTCATATAAATATTTATAAAGAATAACTTTTTTAATTGATTTTTTGTATATGAAAAGATTTGTAAATTTTTAATAACAAGTTGGGTTTGTTCATTATCATTATGATTATTATTATTATTTGTGTAGGGATTTATATATCAAACCTTTTATATGAATTCATTAATTACCAATATTATCATTATCTGAATGTTTATATTAAAAATAACTACTCTTTTTTTTTTTTTTTAAAGAAAAAAAAAAAAAAAGTATTAATTTATTAATTATTATTCTACAAATATTCGTTTAGATGATATTATCTTGACAAAATTTCTCAACAAAAAGTTTTGGATCCCCTTTTTGTTTTATTATTTTAATTAAAAATGTAAATATACAAGCACAATATTATTAAAACAATTTAATTCTTCTTTCCCTAAAAGAAATAATTTATATTATTAGAATTAAGAGAATTTAGAAAATATTTGAAATGATTTTTTGAAAATGAGAATAACAGAGATAATTACCCTTGCCATGTTAGAAACACCGTAAATTGAACCTGTTAAACCTAAAGCAAGACTTCCAAAGTATAAATACACGAATCCTATTCTAGCAGGTCCTCCAAGTCTACCAGGTCCTTTAAGTTTCCAAAGAGGCGTACTGGCATTTGACTTTAAAAATATATATATATAAGAATTTTAGAAATATTTTTCAAAAAAAAAAAAAGAAAGAAACAGAAAAAAAAAGGAGGTATGAAACGGTTAGAATTGAATCCTTTACCTGAAAATACATTTGATAGTCAATAACTTTGTTTGTTTTTTCTAATATTCCTGGCATTTTTTCGTTTTAAAGTAAAAAAAAAATATATTTTTTCTTTTTTGTTTTCAAAAAATAATAATTAAAATAAAAAAAATTTGGTTTCCGGGGGTTTTTTTTTTAATTTTTGGAAATAGTTAAATTGATTGTTGGTTACACGACATAAAACATAAAAAATTGTAATTTGATAATCTATCCACTTTCTCATTTTTTTTTTTTTTTTAATCACTCGTTCGTTTAATCATAATAATGCAATCTTCCGAATCAAATAATACAAATAATGATGATAAGTCATTAAAAACTCGAGAACAGAATCAAATCATAACGAAGGTGAATGAACCTATTCTTGAGACTTTGTCTAAAACCCCATATCCGGTTTGGTCAATGGCAACGTTATGTAAACAAGTTGAAGATATATTTCTTTTCTTTTTTTATTAAAGGAAGAATGAAAATGATTCATTTACTAAATATTATAGCTAATTAGGTTTAGGTTCGTCAGGAATCATGGCAAGGAATTATCCTGGGATGCCTTCAATGTGGACATGTTTAGGTTTTAGTTTAATATTTTCTTTTTCGGGGTATTTATAATTCTTTTAAAAAAAATAAATAAATATTTGACATTGTTTTTTTTTTGTTCGACGACTAAAAAAATACGTGAAATTTCCTTAGGTATATGACCTATACGGGTGATTTTTATAATGGGGCAGGAACTTCAACATGTTGGTATATTGATTCTAAAAACATGATTGTATTGATATTCAACAGATTTATTCAACGAAAAAAAATTTTTTTTTTAATAGCTTGGTCATTGATATATAGTTTATTTAATGTTGAAAGATCCTTTAAATCAAGGAAACCTTTGCCTATTTTAATGTCTTCGCTCGCGTTATCTAACGCTTATATTTATGGAAAATATTATTTCTTTTAATTAAAACAAAACGTGCGATAATTGTTCAAAGAAAAACCGATTTGATATAAAAATATTCTTTTGAGGAATTGATATTAAACATCAAACATCGATCATTAGTAAATTTACAGTCACTTCAAAATTTGCATCCAAAAAACAAAAAAGTATTAAATTGAAAAATAGGTAGGTAAAAATTTTGTTTTTTTCATTCATTAAATTCATTTCGAAAAGAAAAAATTAAGTCGATATAAAATGATTACAAATAATAAAATTTTTTTTCTGAATAAAATAAACTTTACAAAAAAAGATATATTAATTTTTTTTTTTTTTTTTTTTTTTTTTTTTAAAGAAAATTATACATTGAAAGTAAATTTTTTTTTGGGTATCATAAGAATAATAAAAATGATGTGATGGTAATTTTTTTTTTTCTTTCGAGAACGAACCTTTTTGTTTTTAGAAAAATATTTTGCGATAAAGATCATTAAATACTAATCTTGTTAACGCATGTATTGTTAAAAGTTAAATAATGTGAGTAATAAGTAAGGAAAGAATAAGTAAAGAATAAAATATTCCAATAATAAGTATGTCAATAAAATAATGTAATTGACTAAATAAAATGTTAAATATATAGATATAAATATAAAAATATCAATAAAATAATTCAATAATTGTTTTTGAAAATAATTCAAAAACTCTTAAGCATAAAAATATAAGTGGATAATATATAGTAAATAGTATATTCAACAGTAAACATAGGAGTAAAACATATGCGAATAATAATATATAAAATAAGAAATGAGAGAAAAAATATCTACAAAGAAATTTTTCGTAAAGAATAATTATTTATAAGAAAGAAAAAAAAATAATGAATTTCAGTGCGTGTCAAGACCAGCTTGCGTACATTAAGTTGAGAGTATCAAGTGCAAGTTGGCGCCGCAGAATCATCATGCGTATTCATCATTCTCTTGACCAATTACAACGCTTGAACCTTGAACGTCTTGTCTACAATTATGATTTATTTCATTATCTCGCTGATTACTTTCACCTTGATTTCCTTCAATTCCTTCTGGTGTTGGAGAAGGTACCTGCTTTTGTCTAAAAGTACCGCTACTGCTTGAGGGGATCTTTCTTAATCCTTTATCGTCTCTTAGATTATCCGAGATGGTTTCTCCATATTCATTTGGTGCATCATAACCATCTTCCGGTTCGAATTGATTTACGGGACGTCTTGAATATTTTCGATCGGTCTCCAATCCAGGAAATAAACGTCGATCTATGGGAGATTGACCATCAGAAGGATACCTACGATTAAATTCATATAATCGTGATGAAGGTGGTCTTGTTGTTGTTACTGTACTATTTACATATTCTTCACTAAAAATGCGTGACCTTCCCGATGAAGAACGATGATGAGATGATGTGCGAACGGGATGATTAAGAGGATAAGATGATTCGTCGGTTCGGGTAAATGATGATGGACGTGAAGCGGTTCTCTGATATGCTGAAGTAACTGGTTGAGGTGAAATGTTGTTATATCCTTGTAGGCTATATCTTTGTAAACGAGGTAGTTCACGTGGTGTTTCACGTGGAATTTCGCGTTCATAATAAGCACGCGAATTCGGTTGGTCATAATGAGTGGGTGGATGTTGCATTGGTGGTGGTGAAGGTGATGATGAAGCAGGATGTGTATTAGAATACGAACTATATGCTGTTCCAGAAGAACGTCGAGATTTGCGTAACCCATAATCTGATAAACGTGAAGCTGACATTTGTGGATCATTATAACTTTCTGGAAGTAAAGTTGGTGAGGGAGGTCCTGATACACGGTTATATCGTGATGTGATTCGTGGTTGAGCATTATAGTAAGAATTTGGAGGAGAAGATTGTTCCGATGGAGGAATTGGTGAAACTCTCTGTGAGGAGGATTGATCAACATGTTCACCAATCTGTGATTCATGATTTAATTCAGGACCAGGAACTGGAGCAGATGATACTCTATGTATGGGAGAAATGGATCGTGCAGAATGTGAAGGAGTAGGCATTTGTAAGGATGAATCGCTAGGGTAATGAACATGTCCAGACATTTTCTTTGTCATTACTCTCTTTGGGGCAAGAGGAGCAAGTGCTAATAAACATTCAGTCAAACTTCGAACTTGTTCATCACTTGTTTTTAATAATGATTTCAATCCTTTGTCAGGATGTTGTACATCAAGTTCCATTTGCTGTGATAAAACTGAACGCATCTTTTGGTTTATAAAAAGTGCCGATGAAACTACCATGGCCATTGAATGTGAAGGCGGAGGTGAGGCATCATTTATTAAGTGTTCTGTAGAGAACGCTTTTTCGAATAAGTCAAAAGCATTTTGTAAATGTCTTTGATGTTGGGCTGATGCCGAAGAACGTTTTTGAGCGCACGCGATTGAGCTGGCTCCACCTTGGGAACTACCAGGAGACAAAGCAGCTGGTGACATTACAAGTTCGGAATTATGTTTCTTTTTCCTTTGAAGTTTACGTTCTGATATATTATCTAATCAATTAAATGAAAATTAATAAATCAATTATTACGGAAAAAGAAATTCCCTCCCAAAATAAAAAAAAAAAAATACCATCGTCGACAATTCCGCGTTCCGATTCAAGTTTTTGAATACGAGCCCGAAGTTCCTCTAGCATAATCATAGAATCCGAAGACATTACACTGCTATTATCATCCGGTATATCAGCATATGAATCATCCGGTTGTGTTCGTCGATTCAGTTTAACTGTTTTGGGTGCATCGTTTACTACGTTATAATCATCCAGATATTTCTGTGCGCGTTTTCTACCATTAACGGGTATTTGTTTAACCTGCCCACGATTAATATTCTCTGAAGTATTGTCATTAACTTCGTTTTGTTCAGCAACATCCGATAAAGAGCCCCTTTCTTCCTCAACTGAAGAAAATAATGAATTAGCAGGTCGACTACGTCGATCTGTTATGTTACCGTTATAAAGTTCAGCAGAACTATGACGTGCAGCGCGAAGAGGATTTCTACTTCCACCTAATGTAGAAGCAAGAGGCATATGTGAATTTACAAAATCAAATTCTGAATCAGAAGATTCTGGTGTGATTAATCGTTGTGGTGTTTTTGTAGGTTTAGTATTAACAGTTAACGTAGGATGACTTTTAAAACTTCGTCTTCGTAAAGAAGAGAAATTGTTGTCGTTTTCAAAATCTTTATCATCCATACCACTTGAATTCCCATCGGAATCTGAATTATTTTCAGTTGAAAAATATTTCCAATCCAATTCTCCCCCATTATTACTTGGAGAATCCAACTTTTTTAACTCTTTGACACTACGATTCGCAATTGCAAGTTTTGCCGATTTCCTTGATGATAAGGAATCATCAGCAGTAATTGTTCTTATTTCATTATTATCTTCCATTTCCATTGCATCACCGTTATTCAATGAGTCTGACCTCACTCTTAGTACTGATTGTTGCTGTTGTAAATTGTTACTACGCCTCTGTCTGGATTTTAAATTGTTAACCAGATTATCGATATGTTGTCCTGAACCATTTATGTGTGGAATTGTTTCCAATTGACTATTTAATAAGTTTAAAGTTTGAGATTGTGAATGTTGTAATTTGTTCATTTGGTCAAGAATCTAATTGGGAAAGAAAAAAGGACATAATGGAACACGAATGATCATTGAAAAAAAAAAGGAAAAGAAAAAGGAACCAATTATCACCAATTAGCAAAAAAATTTCGGATTAAATTGTTTAATTACAAAACGGACTAATAATTTATGAAAAGAAAACTTCATTGCTTTTTTTTTTTTTTGAAAAATTACTTAATTCACTATATAAACCACTTTTGAGCGGTCTTAAATGTAAAGTTTGGCTGAAGTTTTTATTTACCTCTTGGTTTTTACTTGATAGCGTCGCGATCGTCGCGATCCTATTTTTTGTGGTTTGAAAAGGACCTCGGTGTTCACTAGACGTTGCAGGCGCGGTGGCCGTAGTCATTATATTATTTTAAGTAATTAAATTCGTTTAAGTTTTAGAAGTTTACAAGGTGTAAACTACCGCATCAATAAATTTAGAGTTCGAATTCTGGAAGGAACCCTAAGCCGTTGCGGAGGGGTAATAAGTATTGGCTTGGAGGCCACAGCCAAGTGATCTTAACTTTTAGTTCAAAATAGTTCTGTGAACAAGGCTAAGGAAAAAAAAAAAAAAGGAAACAGCCCGCTGCTTTATATAGTCTTGGTAAGAAGGTGGGGTATTGAAGATGGCTTAGCAGTTTTCAGGCGGCAAATAATAAAAAGTCGTGATACACAATGATTGCAGGACTTTTAAGAATAACGATAATAGAAGATAATAGAGTTATTTTTCGACGATATTCTTATTGTTCAAAGAAAGGCGAGAAAAAAAAAAAAAAAAATTTTTTTTTTTTTATGAAGTTGGTTTAATTATAAAAATAAAATAAGTTGGGATAAAAAGAGTCGAAAAAAACTTTTTTGAATAACTGATAGAAAAAAAAAAAATAATTAAAAAGTATATTGTGTTCAAAGGTATAATATAATATAAATAAATACTAGGACAAAAGTAGTAAAGTCAAAGGAGAAAAAAAATCTACAACAAACACTACTCTTTACAGGTATAAAGTGAGTATAAAGTCAGGAGACACCAAACCCAAGAAAATCTTCCCTTTCTTTTATACTAAAGAAAAAAATAGTTACTTGTTACTTGTTCTTGATACACTACTTTATTAACTACACATTATATACGACATGATCACAAATTAGTGACATATGAGTTAATTGAATACAACTTGATATCATACCTGCTTTATGCAATTTTTAGGTAGCAAAAGTCAAAAAAATGTTTTTTTATTTTTCCTAAAATTTGTAAACGTATCATGATGTTATAAATAAACTTCTGTTGAAATTCCCCTTTAAGGTTTCGCTTTAATTGGTAATAAATAAAGTATCATTGTGACGGTAATTCCCATTATGATTTTATAAAAACCCTAATTTTCAATCTTGAAACAACATCCTACATGTTCACGTGACTTACATCTTAGCCACAAACAAATTCACCGATTTCATTCAACGAAATTTGAGAGGCATAATATAGCATTATATGCACGTGTCAATCTTTTGAAAATTCAAATACAAAGAAAAAACCTACTTCCTCTTTTGATATATCATTAGAATAAAATTCGCCACTTTAATAAAAAAAATTTTTTTTTTTTTTTTTCAAATGTTTATCTATCTTTTATATGGTACTATTAACCCCTTCTTTTGAACTGCATGCACGCAAAACGGAAGTTTTTAGCAGCTCAAATTTTGCCTATTGCATGCATCTTTTTTTTTTTTTAATTGAATTTGAAAGAATACGAATTCGGGTTTGATATGTATGAGTCTTCAAAATTCATACATTTTGCATACATTATCAAAGAAACTTTCTTCGTCAAAAAGATCGTTTTATAAATCCTTTTTTTTTCAGATTCTAACCTTTCTCAAATATTATTCTTTCTCCATCTTTTTTTTCATAAGATTATATGTAAGATTTTTTTTTTTCTATAAACTTAGCGTACATACGTTTTAAATTGACCATATAATTGTATGTTGTATGATGAAATGATGCGTTGTCCATTATTTATTATTCAGTTACTTTCATGTTCACTTTTGAATGTCTTCTTCATATTAGGCGAGTTGCATATATATCATAATAAAATAAAAATTAATTTTTTTTTTTCTTTTTTTTTTGTTCTCTTCCGTTTTAAAATGTAATTTTCAATTGTTCAGTATTGTGATTTATTCGGCCGATTATGAGTTCGTATTGACATAATTTATTAAAAGTTCATTTTTAAATTGATATTGTAAAAGGGCAAATGGCTCGCTCAAATTAGTTTAATTGATACATATACCCTTCATCGAATAAAGTGACCGGTTCCCTAAAATACATTGGTTTCCAATTATTTAATGTCATGCAAGTGATTTGAAATCGCCGATTTGTCATTAAAGGATTTCCCCCTGGAGAAAAGGAATAAAACAAGTGAAAAATGAAAATATTGTTTGATTTTGTAACTTTGTCAATTTTGACTATCAAACTTTTGGTAAATAAACCTTTTGGTCTAGTTTATAACTTTCCCAAATTGACAAATAATATCGTCATCCTTCATTGTTCAATCAAAAGTCCAATCATATTGTCTACGCCACAAAAAAAAAAAAAAAACGGATGTTTTCGTAATATTAATAAGATTGTCAGATCTGCATCAATTGAAAAAATACTTTGTTGTGAAAAACACTTCTTATTAGGTTGACAAGAAAATACATGCATAGTTTTAGGGGGTGAATTTATTAAAAATAATAAATATCCTATTCATTTCGATACTTTATTATTTATTATCTAGCATTTTTTATAAGAAATTTTAATTCAAAATATTAATTTTAACTACATTTAAAATTAGTAAATTTTAGTAAATTAGTAAAAATAATTTTAGTTATAATTAAAAAAAATTATTATTTAGTATTTTTTTGTGAATTATAAAAAGATTTCTACTATTTATTATTTTTAATTTATGAATTATATTATATAAAACTTAAAATAAGTGTAATAATATAGTAATTTAATTAAATATCTTAATAGTATGGTATATTAATTATAATCAATATTTTTTAAGTTTTGCAAATTTTTATTAAAGTTTTAATATAAATTTGTTAAATTTGCCTATTATTAAATAAATATTAAGATATTTATTATTAAATAAAATACTATTACTATTATACTTTGACGTTAATTAATTTTGATGATATTATATTAATTTAATATTTATTATAAAATAATTACGTCTGTCAAAATACAATTAATTAGTAATTCATCAATTCATACTAAAATATAATTATTATTATTTAATTATATAATTTATAAAACAAATTACATGCTATATAAAATAGTTAAATCATAAGCTAAAATATTGATTTAAAAGAAATTTTATGATTCAAATAATCTTAGAAACTATTCTTATAAAGAAAAAGAAAAAAAAATGTTAAAAATATTCTTTTTTAAAGAAAAATCTTATTTAAAACTTGCTTTTTAAGAAATGATTTAAAAAAATTTTATAATTTAAATATTTACTCAAAGTTAATTTCACAAAAAAAAACATTATTATCATTTTTTTAAAAAAGAAACTTAACCTATTCAACTTATCTTTTAAGAGCTAACTTAAGAAAATTTTATAATTCAAAAATTTTAGAAATTATTCTTATAAAAAAGAAAAAAAGAATATAAATAATATTCTTTTTCAAAGAAAAATCTTATATTATTTAAAATCTTTTTTTAAAACTAATTAAGAAAAATTCTAAATTATAAAAATTTTTAAAAATTATTTTTATAAAAAAAAGAAAAAATATTAGTAACATTATTTCTTAATAAAATACTATATATATTTAAAATTTACCAAAAGATATATATTTAAAAAATTTAGAATTTAAAAAATTTTTTATATAAAAAGAAAATAAAAATAAAAAATAAAGAAAATGTATGTAAAAAATAATTAAAATAATAATTAAAATAAATAAAATAAAAAATAAAATAATAAATTATTCTAAATAATAGTATATAATCATCTTCCTTTATAGTTACACTTCTTAAAAAATAAAAAATATGATTATAATAAAAAGTTACTATACAAAAGGATTTTTATATATTATTACTAAGCGTTAGTTTTGAAAAGATTTTTTTATAGCATTAATGGATATTAATTCTTATAAAATGTATATTATATAAGCAGTGTTGATCTTTTGAACTAATAGACTTTTAGACCATTAGACTGCTAGTCTAATAGATTTAATTCATTCTAATTCCATTAAAATTTAGACTATTAGACTATAGATTTCGTCTAATAACTATAAATTTTTAGCAATATATAAATCATTTTTATTGATATTTGTTAAAATTTTATTAAATTTACTAGTTATTACTTAATATAAAATTTGATAAATAATTAGATTTTCTTAAACTCTCAATATAAATATCTAGATATTTCTATTTAGAATTTTGATCTCTATCAGAATGAGGTAAATTTAAAATATTTGTAATATTAATTTTAAACTCTCTGTTACTTAAAAAATTAAGGTCAGTAGAATTGTACTAGTTAAATGATTTTATTATTATACAATTAGAATGATTTTATTATTAATCATTTAAATTAAACAATTTTATTAAATTTTTAAGTTAGGTTAATATTATAAATTTGGCTAAAATTATAGTATATAAAATTATGATTTAGCTAATATTATATAAGTATAATCTATTTAAATTAGTATTAGAATAGACATTTTTATTAGGTCCAAAATCCAATAATCAATTATTAGGAATTAGATAAAATTCAATTCAAACACTAATAATAAGGGATTTATATAATTATACAGAAGTGATTATAGAAAGGAATAACTGTAGTTAATTAATTATATAATTATTTAATATATCATGTAAAACATTTTACATTTTTGTTTAAAATAATAAAAAAATTTTTAAAAATAAGCTTCTTTTTACAATTAGAAAATAGTTTTAGAAACTATTGTTAAGTCTAAAATAATATTAAAAATATTATAAAAGCTAATCAATATTAACTCAATTATTAAACAAATAGATAACAAGATACTTTATATAATATATAAAAGTCTTTCACTTTATTTCAGATTAATTATATATATTTAATATATATTATTAATTATTATAATTTAAAATTATTAATGAATTCCTATAAACTTCTAAAATATCAATTATTTATTAATTAATACTAAATTTAAAAATTCTAGATTTAATAAAATTTCTAACTATAATATACTGTATATCTTCAAAGTAAATAAATATTATACAAAAAAATAAATTTCTTTTAATATTTATTATTTAATTCTAAAAAATAATCAAATAAACTCTGATTTAATAATAAATATTGTAACAGGATTGGATTGATGAACATGATGCAGCATATTACAGATCTGAATATCAGATAT